CTATATATATATACTTAATGTTGGATAGTTTCTGCGCTCTATAAATGTAATATTATAAAAACACACAACAAAATGAATAAACAACACAAAATATTAAAAAAATGAAAGAAACAAAAACATAGTTCACTTACAGTTGCAAGGACAGGAATAAGGATGCCCAAGCTTCCAGCACTGCTGGAGGCCTTGATAGCTGTAGGAGCCCTCTCACTGGCCCGCTTGCCCTCTAGTCCCAGCTGGACAAATAATTCAAGTAGCCGGACTAAGAGCTCCTGCTGTTCGTTCTCTCCGTCTATAAATGCTGCTATGTTTGCAAGGGCATTGATGATAGCCATGGAGCAATGCCTAGAAAGGAAGAAATCAAGATGGAATATGAAAGAGGGTTTAGAGTTAAGACTTGCTGTTCGTTCTCTCAATCCATGAATGCTGCTATGTGTGCAATGGCATTGATGATAGCCATGGAGCAATGCCTAGAAAGAAAGATATCAAGATGGAATATGAAAGAGGGTTTAGAGTGAGCTCCTGCTGTTCGTTCTTTCAATCCATGAATGCTGCTATGTTTGCAAGGACATTGATGATGGACATGGAGCAATGCCTAGAAAGAAAGATATCAAGATGGAATATGGAAGGGGCTGGATCAAGCCCGGAAGCAGCCCCACTCAGCCATGGTTCTTATAATAGTAGCCTGTTCAGACTTTACACAATTTATATGAAACTTGTATAAAAAATGTCATGTAAACAATCATTGTATTTTCGAAAAAGGGCGTACAAACTAGACAACATCATCATATAAAGAAACTACTTTTGAAGAGGTAAATTAACACAACAATCATTACTGCACGTTCACGACGAGCCCTGCCTATTGATACAATTTTTGTACGATAATATGTTCAGACTATATAAAAAAAGGGGCCCTGATTTATTATCGAGTTTTTGTTCAAGACAACGCTCAAACATGTATTTCTCTATAGGACGTTTCTTTAGACGATGTTCAGATTAGAAAAAGGTAATTACTTGTATAGCTATACGAGAATCATACATATGGCGAAACATTGAATTTTGGTAGTGTGAACGCAGGGTTAATCTCTGACTTACCTGAATCTCTGTGAAGCCTGAGAGCTGTTAGGTGCATAATCAGATGATCCGGCTTCGACACTGATCTGAATAAACATATTCATCACCTCCTGCGTTACAGCAGCCTTGAGAGAGAAACAAGAGGGAAACGAGTGGGAAATGATAGCAGTAAAGTAGAGAGGAAAATGAAGGGAAAAAGGAAAATGTAACATCAGGACACGGTGTCATAGCATTTGATCAGAATCGAGTGCAAGTCCTCCTCTAGCAAACTCCTATTTCTTACTAACAGAGGTGCCGTTGATATGTGATATGTGCGATAGTTATCTTACGATTAATTTGATCACACCGGTTTAAAAGACTGAGATGAATGATCTAGTGGGCATATTTCCACACTTTCATATTATCTGGCATCTATGACATCATTATTGACCATCTAAAATATAAAGTTTGAGAAACATTCTTGTTGAACAATGGCAGCATATAACATTAAAAAGAGATATCATCATTTTAGAATCAGTTACTTTATCGCTTTATCTCACACAATATGTAAATCAAGTTTAAATCATAAGTCCATTCATAACTACCATTGAAAAAAAAATACATATGATAAACACAAATATAAATGATAAACACAAACACAAATACTTACACTTGGGCAGGAAAAAGATTTTGATATAATTATATTTTGTCTCAGAAAAAAGAAATTTATGTGCTTACATTTCCAGCCAGCACCAGGCATCCTAGCATATCCACAATCAGCACATCGAGGGAGGAAGGGGGCGTGCAGAACCGTTGCTGGAAAATCTGCTGGACGCTCTCGATGGTACGAGTTGTTTCGCTCAAAAGAACTGCCACGTGGCCCATTGCCAAGATGGCATTGGAGGAGATGAGGGTGGAATCTCGATCGCTGGCTTCAGCAATGTAGAGGGCATTTGAGACAGATGCTAGGAAGGCTTGAATGCAATCGGGATCTTCAACGAGGCCAGAACGCAGCGATCTGATTGGATTTGCAACAAAATCAGAGTAGAAATTGCATAAGTTACATTAGCAAATACATGTAATAACAACAAAAATGAAAAGAAAGTAAAAATAAAGGATCATTGAGAATCTACTACTAGTTCCCAATCACAAACTTTCATTAACAATATCGGTTACATCTATAAGTACTCAAATATATTATCTATTATTATAATAGCTTATTGTATCTGCTTTTGGTTCCGTCATTCAAAACAGATAAAAGTTTAAATACATTTAAAATTCATTGTCATGTATACCACTAAAAAATTTAACCAGATGCTAGATTTCAGTTTAGTCTATTAAAGTCAGGTTTAAGATTGTTAAAATTTGTGAACACATACCTGCAGAGGTTGGACATGGCCGCATTCCTCAGTCTCTCATATGGATGTGACCCCTCCCCGACACTCTTGCTGCTCCTACTCCCACCACCACTACCGGCACCACCACCACCACCAGCACCGCGCCCATCCTTCCCAGCCCCAGCCCTCTGGAGGGTGGAGTCCATGACCCTGATGGTGGGTCCGGCACTAGACTTGCTGCTCTCGACTTCATGATGCTTGTGGAGCTTGACGATGATGCGGGACGGCCCCATCAGAAAGTCGCGGAGGGAGCCGATGGTGGCGTGAGCGACCGTCGGAAACTTCTCTGCTAGAGTGCCCAAACCCTGGAACATTGAATATTGAAATCCACATTCATTACCTCGTGATAAACATTGAATAGAATTCAGTAATCATGCAAAATGAAGAGAGGAGGGATCGAGTCAGTTTCTTTTCACTTTGAACACAACAAAAACTGACAAAATACATTATTCAGAACTTAAATTTATCTCTAATAGCAAATATGTTTCTATCATCATAGAGTATGTTAACACTTTGTTCACATTATATTATTAGCCTCTTGCAAGGTCGTTTGCCACACATGTAGTTTTGCACAAAGTGCATTTTCTGACAAAATAAGTCACTCAGAAAGCTAAAATACAAGGTTTTCATGAGGATGTTATTTGTTTGGCATATAAACATTGAATATACATTGAATATTCAAATTAAAATTAATGTATGATGTACCTGCAGTGAGCACAGAAGCAGAGGCATATCAGCTATGAGTTGCTTGCTGCCAGCACTGGAATGCAGTTTCTCAGTCAGCCTTGAAATAAGACTATCAGCACCTAGCATATAAAACATGAAGGAAAAAACAAACAAAAGAATCGCATGAAGAAGCATTCCTACCCATCCTTTATAGTAATCTCATCAGAAAGTATGACAACATGTTGTAGATGACATCTGACATCTATTTACAATAACGTGAATATATTTAAGAATGTATAATAAATCAGTAGACTATTACGATAAGGTTGATTTTTAAAAATAATTTCTATTTGTTTGACAACATGATAATAAATTTGTTTAATATCTTCCAATAACTGATATTTGAAAGGATTTACAGGAAACAACTTCCAAAATTATCAATATAGCGTGTCATACATATAAAGTTTCATGTTGCAAATTCATGACGGAATAATGAGGAAGATCACTACCTGTTTCATCATTAGCTGCCCACACAAGAAGGTCCACACATGTTGCATTAGCCCTGAGTGCCAACTCTCGAGAGTTGAACCTGCATGGACCACGGGTGGCGCTCTCCACACTCAGATCCTGCAGCTCCGTTTGGCCCGATAGAAAGAGTTCTCTGACGAACGCATGAACCTCTGTCTGGAAGCCCATTGGCAATCCTGAAATTTGATACACAAGGGAATATTCACAAAACAATCCTTTCTATACAAACAGTTTGGACTGGGCATTCTTGTATATATTTGTTAGATTGGTCTTAAAATTAAGTCCATGGGAATAAACTTCAGAATGAGGGTACCTGTTCCATTTAGGTGAATAGAATGTGGCAATTCATAGTCCAAACCAATAATTCAACACTTACATTCTTGGGGTGGCATTTGCATGTGCCACCCATGTCACAGTAGGGGTTCACAATTGAATATCACAATTATACAGGGAGACAAGACCATCCGGTATGTATCGAGTCCTTGAGCTTGGCCCATGCTACCTTTTATCTTGCCCCACCCCCATCAAAAAATAATAACAATAATAACAGTTTAACAAAAACAAATCAATATCAACGTTGGGGTCTAGTGCAAGGAACAGTTCAATCAAATGCACCTTGACTTTCCACTGGTCAGAAACGCCTATTTAAGACTAGCATTTGATTCTGCAAGTCGTGTTTAATCTCATTTTTCTCACGTGAGTCGGATTCTCTACCTTTATGCTGTTGAAGGAGATGTCTGAGTAAAGAGACCAGAACCACGTTGATGACTTCACTATATGACTTGTACGGAAGGTTCTTCTTTGATCCTGGTTGAAGGGCGTACTGCTGGGCCATCCCATCAAGACTTTGTAACAGAGTTCCGCTGATCATCTTCTGGCACTGAAAGAGAAACAAAAACCTTTCTATCACGTAACGAGTTGAGATAGACATCACTCATATCTTTATTATGACTAGACTAAGTTTCGATGTAAACACCTCACTTTTCATATGCATTCAATTAAAATCATACAAGACAAAATCAAGACTAAACAAAGTCCAGTTTTTGGTAGCATCCCACTAAAATCACATAAGACCCTTCCCATGTAGTGATAAAAATAATGTATTTTGAACCTGTGTTTCCTAACCTAATTACTTACCACATTCAAGATGGTCTGCAGCTGTGGAGTGGTGAGGTCCAGAGAACCCACTTGAGCTCCATCGCTCCCGCTCTCACATGTCTCCGTGCTGATACCGAAACTTGACCCCACCACTGTCAGCAGATGGCTAGGTCCCTCCGTCGCCCTCTCCTCCCTGGAGTCGTCTGCCAAAGGCAATGCGTCCTGTCGGCTCCCTTCGGACTGCCGGAGTTTCTGCTCCATGACGTCAGAGACGATGAGTCGGAAGGAGCTGTACATGGGGGACGTCTGGTCCAAACCGGAGGATGGGGGAGGGGTCTGGGAGGCGGTGTGCTTGGATGAGGGGTACATCCGACTGAGGAGAGAGCAGGATGGGTCCTGGCTGCTGCGCCCTATGGCACGGGACATCCCCAGGAATGCGGGCATGACGTGTTTGCATATAGCAACTATTCAGAAAAATGAAAGATAAAAACAATATTGGTTTAACCCTTTGATGATAAACCTCATTCAGATATGAGGAGGTAAACTGAGGCAGGTTTTTTTATGATGACATAAAAAGTGAATACATGCTGGACCTTAGATACACGCAGTTGCCATTCATTCACACGTTACAAAAAGAGCTGTACCCTTGTATCCCAATTACGGCCATTCAATATTTCATAATCATTGCATGGTCCTACATATTCATTCAGATGCTGGTTCATGGCAACCAATATGTTTATCCCATGATTATGTCTTTCATTACCTTGAGGATGTTCTGATGGCTGTTGGCAGATCCTGCATAGTGCCTGTAGAACTTCAACTAATGTTGACAAAATCTGAAAGAACAGTTAAAAAAATTAAAGATCAATCAAACTGCCAAAGAGGACAAAACTTGGAACATAATCAAGATAACTATAGGTAGATTAGATGAAGTGAAGTGCGATGTAGGGACCTTATATATGCTGCACTCTTTACTGAAGCAAACAGTCTTTTAACTTAATGTCCTCAGGCAAATTCTTTTGTTTATCTTAGCTATACATTTTCTGAAGTTGACTTGTGCAAAACTTATGACAGACGAATAACGAGTAACATATATCAAGTAATTTTCGATATCCGTTTAAAATTTATTTAACAAAATGAAAGAGTCCTTGTCAAAGCTACGTACATGTAGTAAATGAATGCAAATCTTAATTTTGTGGCTGAATAATGTAAATTTCACCTCGATTCAAACTTATTGATAGTATTACAAGAAATACACAAGAACAGTTTGGCAATCCTCAATGATATTCTAGTTGCTCAGTCATCAAATTTTGGACAAATGTGCACGTCACATGAAAGGGAGAGAGAGAAAGAGAGAAAGACAATGAGAGAGAGAGAGAGGGGGAGGGGGAACTAGGACAACCAGAAACGGTATGTACATGTATAAAAGAGCCTGTGAGAGATTCATTACATGTAAATTTCATTTACCATTTCCTTTCCTTGATAGAGTGCGAGTGCATGTGCGAGAGAGAGAGAGAGAGAGCTAGTATTTACCTGATCTCTGTAGTGTGAATCCTTGGTCGCTATGTCAGAAAGAAGAGTTGTGATGGTGAATGCAAAGCGCTCACTCATTGGTAATACTGAAAAGACAAAAGTGAGTGATAACTTATGGGGTGAATTGATTGAAATAATTATGTCAACATAAAAAAGACAACAGGACCTCCACCTCATACCTACCAACCAATCTTTCAAAGCAAAAGCTAAAGGGTTTCCCTCAAGGCAAAATGATGAATAGCCTATATTGTATATCAGAAGATTAATTACTCTTTCGCTTGCACCAAAGTTTCTCAGACAAAGGAAGGAATCTAGGGTTCATACAATTTACAATCAATGATTTTAAACAAAAATATATTTTTTTAGATGGGATGGTAAAAAAAAAAATTAAAAAAGGAATGGTTAGCAGCTCCGCTGTGAATTCTTATACTGGTAACATTCACGTGTTTGATAATTAAGAAGAAAAAAATATAACTATGACATTTATCGTAAATTATGGAAGATGGTTACTTCTTTATGATCCAAGTCATGTCACACAGTTCATTTCTGTATTAAAGTTTGTTTAAACTGTTTATCACCCATGCACTGCACATGTCAACATGTTATATTGTTTTAATTTATGTTAGGATGAAAATGAATGAAATGAATTAAAACGTAAACATTGATATGGTTCTTACCATCAATAACCCTGTATCCTGTTTCTTCAATCCATTGTGCATTGGGTATGCATCTCACAAGACTAATGAAATATGGAACCAGCTCGTCCTTGAACTGCATGGAAATAAAAAGGCAAACAAAACATTCATTTGTACCAAATATCTATCAAAAACAATTTCTGTTTCTCTTCTCTAAATCTTAAAAAATATTGAGGGGGAAAAGACAATATATTTGTGAGGTGTAATATTTCATAGGCACTTCTATGGTGATTCTGTTAACCTTGAATAAGACTCATATCTAGTGGTTGGCTAAAAGCCCAAATTTATCATATGCATGCGAACAAAGGGCGAGAATGCTGCACATTTCGTGACTATTTTCGTTGCACTAAGATATAGCATTTGAAACCACTCAATTTCCTCCTCCCCCCCCCCCCCCAGACACACATACCCACACACAAATGAAAAATAAAAAATAATAAATAATTTTAAAAAATGCATTAACCACTGAACTCTGCGACTTCCCAACATCTGAAAGAATTCAAATACTGATTATAAATAAAAAAATTGGCAATATTAAAACTTTTCCACATTGTTTCTGCACATTCAATTCAGGGGCAATTTCCATGTTTTATTACCAAAATACCAATTAAACAAAGTAAACATGATGATGCTAGTTTAAAGAAGGTAAGCTGATATATTTTAGCCCTAAAATTTAGAAGATCCAGTCATGCTGAACATTGAAACAAACATTCCTGTACATGTCAAAAACTGTCAGACTGTCAACCAATTCAAAACTTGTCTGAAGACACATTTATTCAAAATTGCTTTTGAAAATTAACTTCCCCTGTTCACATTGATGTATATTTCATATGTATTGTAATTTGTAGGTTTATTTGTAATTTCTTGTTTTGTTTGAAATGTAACTGTTTATCATGGTATTTTGTTTGTTATAGTGCTTTAGAGACTTCGGTGGTAAGCACTTTATAAGGATCGTTTTTATTATTATTATTATTATTATGTCAGACTCAGTGGGGTAAAGTAGATGATTACCTTGAGGTCTGATTCGAGTAGGAAGACCCCCAGCGCCACCATAGCATCCTGCCTACGCTGGTCTATCCTGCACAGCCCTCCTCCCACAGCGGGTATCTGGGGACACATCTGCAACAGTTGCTGCACCTGTATCATCATCAAACATATTTCATTATCAGCTCATTATGCAAAACACATAACCTCCCCTTGTCACATTATATTTATTATGGGATAGATAATATTAAAGGCTTCAACATCTCATGGAGGTTAACAACAAAATAATTGTTATAATATACTCTTATATATACTTTTTGTTGTAATATCATTAGTTAGAAAGTGGGTCGAAATTCCCATCCGTCATTTTCAAAATCAAGATTTACTTTTGTTTAATACAAAGCGTAGCTTGCCTTTAAATGGGGTGTAGCACGACGAGACTACGTGTCTTTCCCGTGGCCTGACTCGGGGCAAATCAGGTATAATACGACTACGGACGACATGACCGCAGTATTCTTGTGCGAAACATACGCAAACCGAAGCGTGAGGAGAACTTTGGTCTGTTTCTCGAACGCTAGCACGCTGACCATTAATCAAGTCTATTCGTTTACGTTTACGTGTCGTAGATGGCGTTAACCAATAATTGCCTTGGATCACCCCCTTTTAGTCCTTTTAATCTTGTCCACCAAAAAATATGGACATGGCCATGGATAAGTCGACTTTCTTAGTTTCTAAATTTTCATAGGGTGTCTGAACGATTTTTCAATTTTCAATTTGAGATCGTTTTTCACCATTGTTGTTTAATATTTGAATTAAAAATGTAATCAGAATAATACATTTCAAATTTCAAGTCTCACCGATGTTTCTATCAAAAGATACAGCCCCTTCGAAACGCTGAAATATTCATAGCATTTTGCTCAGAATCGACGAAAAAGACGTACATGCAGAGTTATGTTGTTTTGCTAAATTTAGCCAAACAGCTGTATCGCGCGATATGCAAGCGTATGCATAGCGTACGCATGTCATGCGCAACTTGCAGCTTGAGCCACGCTGTCTCCGCGATATGTGCCATTGACTAGTATGGCTAGCCATTCGCGCCATAGAACCCAGAAGTGAATACACGTTATAGTCAATGGCAATATCGCGGAGACAACGTGCACGTTGTCTCCGCGATATTGCCATTGACTATAACGTGTATTCACTTCCGGGGTTTATGGTGCGAATGGCCTCCATACTTCCATTCACTATAAGCGCACATGTTACGCGATGTAACCATGGTTTGGACTGAGCGGAGCTCACGCCTCCCTCATTAGCTGATTCCAAAAATGTGGGAAGGGTTTTTTTAAACTGTTGGGGCGAGTGATCTCTTGGGGCTAGCGAAAAAATAAGTGCATACATATTTTCCTTACGTCTAATCGGACATAAGCTCGGGGGGCGCAGCTCAGGAAAGTGGCAAATTTTGGAGCTAGGATGCAAACAACATTTAAATCGCTGTTTTGACCACGATATTTTTAGAATTTCGGGGGTGCGCCCCTTTGGGGAATATGGAGAAAAACCTGCTCTTTCATATGACACCTGATTTTTTGAGTTTCACCTTCAGGATCACAAGCCCCAAAGGTTTGAATTTCAATTTTTTTTCATAAAATCATTGACCAATTTTCATGGTCACGCAATGCACATAGACTGCATAGGGATGCGTGCAATCTCTATGGGAAGTATTTTAGCACACAACATCGGGTGCGCGATCAGACACCCTAATGTTAGATCTAGAGTAAAGGAGCCCGTAATCGGCCAGCTCCCGTTTTCGGCCGATTGGTTGGATACAAGGTAAAATCACTCTAAAATACATCGCATAATAGCATAACACATATCCCACACATACCATACCATGCCAGTGTCACTGAAGAACCACATTTGCAATGGAAAATATATCCTAAAATATCACATTTTAGCGATGTAATCGCCGGTCCCGCTACCCAAATCTGAAAAATCGAGTATCTTACGCGTGTCTGTAAGAAATATGGGTACCATAAAATGAGCTTTATTTCAAGTATTTTTCAGATTTAAAGCCCGATTTTGTGCTAGTCGCAAGCTCAAAAGTATGTCATCGCATGTATTAAATCAATGCAGCCGCACACCGCGACGCACACACGATATCTCTATCTAATTCAGATTCCAACTTCCGATCACCGCTGTGCCCGTCTTCGGCCAGGCGAGCACCAGGGAGCTCCGGCGTGGGATACCTGCTCCGCCCGCTTGTGCTGTACATCAGCGCGGAAACGCACGGCGCGCGCGAGCGCTTCCTATTGACTTTGTACATGCGGCCGTAAACTGAAACGCTCGGCCGATAACGGGCTCCAAAACAGTGAAAATTGAAATGGATATTGTCATGGCAATTCGTGATTTTTTTCTGGGATTCTTTTTTTGTGTAAATAATAATAATATTTGCTTCATGATTTGAACAAGAAATGATAATAAATAGGAAGTAAAGAGTCCTAAAAATAGGATTTTGTCTTAAGTGGCCGAAAACGGGCTACTTTACTCTAGATCAAGTCATAATTTTCTCAACAATTTAATAATGAAAATAAGAACCAAGCTGAAGAAATTCGCCCAGACCACTGAATTAAATTACTTTGTTGTCACGTTGTCTGCACCATCACCTGCTGTCACAACACATCATATCCTATATCCCCCCCCCCCCCTCCACATCATAGATCTAATTCATGTTGTCAATGTTATTGCAATTTGACCTAGGCCTACATTAAACTCTATAAATGGGACACTTGTTTAATTTACCATTGGAATCGACACTGCGCTTAAAACATAACTCCAAACATGTATTCCACCACTAAAATAACAAACAAACAAATAAAAGTGAAACATGAATGTCATATCATATCATCTTACCTTTAGCCATTTCAGATCTGGGATTTGGGCCAATGATCTTGCTAAATGTAGAAGCGTTTCTGGGAACAATCCGTTTGGCCCCATTTTATTTACTTTGCGCGAAATAACTACCACGCCCTCTCGAATCTCTACATGAGATCTAGCTCTGGTAAAAGCTCTCGATCCTTTCATTCATCTCGAGCTGGCCGCCTGCGTCTTTTTTTAAAATTGAAACAAAATATATATTATTTCAATTCTATTTGATTTTTTAGTCAAGTTTGGTATAACATAAATACAAAGAGTAAAATGAAACAATATAATGATGATAACTTGATAGGATGATCGACCCATATGAAATGGGGTCCTTTTACAGTCTGTTTGATAATACTCCATAAAAATAAAATAAAATAATCAAAGGATACAAGCACAAACAAGATAAGCCTCTTTGGGGTTGAGAATAACAACATAAACGTAATATCACTAATTACATTCATTAAGAAGTTAATCAATGTATATGAATTTGAATAATGGCCTGTATATATATATATATATATATATATATATATATATATATATATATATATATATATACATATATATATATATATATATATATATATATATATTTATATATATATATATATACATGCATCACTTAATTGAATTGAATTGAATTTATTGAATTGAATTTATTTATTCACCACCATTGAAAACATTGAAACAAAAGATAAATGTACAATGACAATGTCAATATAACATAAATGCATGACATGAATTATAAAAAATACATGTTCTACAGCGTTATACATGTACATTATGACAAATATAAAGTAAACTTTGCTTCGAGAGTAAAATGACTATTTACAATGAGTCTGTGATCGATGGTAAAATAGAGTAAAAAATAGCACATGTGCTAGTCGAGTCTGACTCTCGTTATCTAAAGCCTAAAATAAAGTTAATTTAAAAATACATATGGGTTTCCAAATCTTATAAATAAGATTTGTGTATAATATTAAAATGAGACTGGTTAACTATATAGTAACGAGGTTATGATTCGTGGTTTTCACTTAGTAATTTAGTAAGTTTTTTACGAAAAGAGGTTCTTGATCTCTAAATTCTTAGATCAGTAGGAAACATATTCCAAAAATTACTTCCACCAAACGAAACAGAAAACTTTCCGTGGTCTGTTTTGAATAAAGGAAGACGTAATTGTCGACCCGTTTTTTGTCTTGTGGAATATTCATGTTGTATCATAGGAATGAGGTAATCGTTCATTTATCAAATCAAACACAAAAGTACAAATAGATAATTTATGCAATTTAAAAACATTCAACAATTTGAGGTCATATGAAACAGTGCATTAGTATGAGAACGATGTGGCTTGATAGTATAGCACGTACAGCCATCTTTTGAGTATAATATACAATTCAAGTGTGATTTATAAGTACTACCCCAAACCTCGATGCCATATGTAATATGTGGCTGTATTAGAGCTTTATACATCAGTATCAATATATGTTTAGGGACAAAGTGCCGTAATTTAAAGAGGATACCGACCTTTCTCCGTATAGGCCTACAGTCATTAACATATTTTATATGTGAATTCCATGTTAAATTAATGTCTGTCAATGGTAATGCTAACAAATGTCGCTTCCTCCACTTCTCTTAATTCTGCCCCAGATATTGTTAATCTCCCTTTAAGCACAACCTTTCTTCTACGACTACTGAAGAACATGAAATTGGTTTTTGACGCATTGATAGTAAGCTTATTTGCAGTGCACCAATTTTGTATTGATTTTAAATTTTCATTTACTTCACAGTACACTCATCTATTTGATCTACACCTTTGGGAAAGTATGAAAAATATTAGAATCATCTGCAAATAGTCTGAAATTGAAATAATTTGTCACAGTTGGCAAGTCATTTATATAGATTAAAAACAGAGTTGGTCCTAAGACAGAACCTTGTGGTACACCGAATTTGATATATCTACTTTCTGATGATGACTCTTTGTATTTCACAAACTGCATTCTGTCACTAAGATAGCTTTCTAGCCATTTCAGTGCATGTCCTCGGATGCCATAATGTGATAGCTTTTTTTAAATAATATGTTATGGTTTATTGTGTCAAAAGCCTTTTGAAAGTCAAGAAACACACCAAGCGTAACACATCCTTCGTCTATACTTTTCAATACCGTATTCATAACATTAATTAATTATAATTTAGTACTATACTTTTTCCTAAATCCGTACTGATGGTAATATAAAATATCATGCGTTTCTTCAAATAATGTGGGTACATTTGGTATTGCTGATGCTAGATTTGGACCGATGTTTACAAAGAAATCATTAAATTCATTGGTAATTTCAGATTCAGTTGTTAGAACTTTATCATTTCCATTAATACGCCTTATAAGTTTTTCTACCTTAGTACCTTTGTTACTTTTATTTCTCCCAGATAGTAATTCATTTATGATGTTCCATGTTTTACTAGTGTTATTGCTGTTCTCAGTTAGCAAACCACTGTAATAATTTCTCTTGGCATTGCGAAGAACAGTCGTTAATACATTTCTGTAGTTACGAAATTGTTGTACATCACTTACATCAAAATTAGATTTCCTTACTTTTAAAAACAATTTTTTTTTCTTTTCGAACAGACTTCATTATTGATTTGGTTATCCAAGGTTTCTTATAAGCGCGTCCTTTGCAGCTTCTTTTCTCTCTGATTGGTGCATGTTTATTACAAACATTATTAAACAAATTAAGAAAAATGGAATATGCCATGTTAACATCTTCACAGCTATTGAAATGTTGCCAGTCTTGTCCAGCTAGATCATCTTTAAAGTTTTGTACATCATAGTTTTTATAACATCTGTAAGTTACAGTCTGTGGATAATGCAGCTGCTTCAAATTACATGGATTTTCTAAAATCATGAACACAGGGTAGTGATCAGAAATATCACATTCTATAACACCCGAGTGATTATCATACTTGTTCATATTAGTGTATATGGTCTAATAAGGTTACAGACTCACTGGTTACTCTTGTTGGATGTTTTATTTTCTGCTCCATTCCTACGCATTTCATCGCTGTTGAAAACCCTTCTGTTGTTCCGTCTGAACTTAATGAATTTATATTGAAATCTCCTATTATAATGGTATTGCGTCTGTCGACTTTAATGTCTTCTAAAACTGTGAGAAGACTTTCTTGAAACTCTTTAACATCTGTATTTGGTTTCCTATATAAAACACCTACCATCACCTTCTGAAATTCTCCATTGTTTATTTCAAACCAGATTGATTCTGTATGCTTCACTGTATAATCTTTCACGACGTATTTCAAATTAGAACGAATATAAGCTCCTACCCCTCCTCCTCTTTCTCTACCATCCCGGCACTTTACCTGCAATAAATAACTTTCCATTTCCAAGGTTGATTTTTCTAATTTTCTAAAACTCTCCATACTTCTGATAATGCAATTACATCGAATCTGAACTAATAACGCAATCTTCATATAACAACTTTAAGGAATCAACATTTTTGTTTAGCGAACGTACATTTACATCGGAGATACTAATTGATTTTTTTTTACCATCAAGTGGCAATGTACTATGTGCTTATCTTGATCGAGTCTCAAGTGATGAAGTTCAACTTTTAAGTTTGTAATGTTTCTGAATTGTCTTTTAATAGATTGGTAAGGAATTCCAGCATTTTGTTTCATTGAAAATAAAACGATTCTCATTTTTGCCTACGTACATTATCGGGTAAAGCATAGTTGAGTAATCGGCTCCTTAATTCTCGTATAATATGATAACGCGAGTGAATTAGTTGTTGCCAATATTGAATTGAATTTGAATTTGAATTTGAATTTCTTAACAACAACACATCACAATCAGAGGCGGCTCTCCAGGGGGTGGAGGGGGGAGGGGAGGGGGGCAGGGGAGGCCCCCACTTTTTTAGTACCCCAAAACTGAGTGCCCCTTTTTACATAGGTAAAGTGCCCCTTTAACTTTGTATTAAAGAAGTGTCCCTTTAGGAAAAGTGCCCCTTTTACTTTGACAAGTACCTCTTCCCCTTTCCAACTCTGATAAATGCCCCTTTTATTTTGACACGTAGGCCTACCCCTTTTACTTTGACAAGTTCCCATTTTCCTTTGCAATTAGTGTTCATTTTCCATTCTCATAACTACCTTTTTTAATTCTAGTAAGTCCTCCTTTTCAGGTACGAGAAGCGCTCCTTTTCACTGTTCATAAGCGCCCCCTCTACCTCTGATAATTGCCCTATTAAAATCTGAGAGGTTCCCCTTTTCCTTTGTAAAAAGTGCCCCTTCCCCTTTTAATAACTACTCTTTTTAACTAGGATAAGCGTACCTTATATTTTCACATGCACCCCCCTTCCTTTTAATAAGTGCCCCGTTTCATAATGATAAGTGCCCCCATTTAAAAAAAGCCCCTTTCCCTTCTCATAAATGCTCCTTTTCATCTACGAAATATGTTCATTTTCACTCTCATTAGTGCCCCCTTTTCATCTCTTGTAAATGAGCCTATTCCATTCTGAGAGATACTCGTTTTACTTTGACAAGTGCCTCTTCCCCTCCTGATAAGTGCTCATTTCTTATAAATGCCCCTTTAATTTTGACACGTCCCCCTTTTCCTTCCTAATAAATGCTCTTTTTCCTTCTTATAAGTGCCCCTTCCCCTTTTCATAAGTACACCTTTTCATCTTTGAAAAGTGCCCCGTTTATTTAACATGTGCCCCTTTTTCTTTTTTAATAAGAGCCACTTCCCCCTTCTCATAAGGCCCCCTTTCACCTCCGATAAATGCCCCTATTAAAATCCGATCGGTACCCCTTTTCTTTTAGCAAATGCACATTTCCCTTTATCATTAGTGCCCCTTTTTCATACTCATAAGTGCCTCTTTTCATGTATGGTAGGACCCCTTTTCAAATGCAATAAGTGCCCCTTTTCACCTCTGATAATTACCCTTTTAACAATGATAAGTGCCCCTTTTCCCTTTCTAATAAGGAACCTATCCATTTTTCCTAAATGCCCCTTTTCACTTTTTATAAATGCCCCTATACAAATCTAAATGGGTGACTCTTTTCCTTTGACAAATGCCCATTACACATTCTCATAAA